AAGTTCTTCGCAACAAATATCTTTACAGTGATGTTTAGATCAGCTTACTTGAGTACTAAAGTTTCTTCTTAGTTTCCTTCTCATTCACTGGTCATATAGGCTTTTGAACACAAAAACCTGAGTGACTACATAATAAATGGTTCTCAATCTTCTGAAATCCATACTTCTTTAAGAAGCACAAATCCATCACCTATTGTGTTTTTGGTTGTGTTTACCTAATATAACATAGCACCGAACGCAGTTTTTCAAACTACAACCTCTTCTTCTAATAATCAATATGACTCATCACCACACCTTTTAAAGAGACTAAAATCATATGAAATACACCATAAACTATAAAATATTGGAAAGCTAAAAATTTACTATTACTGCCTTGGCCGGTTTGGCTCAGTGGTTGGAGCATTGTTGGCCCACAGACCAGTGAGTTGCAGGTTCAATTTGGCGAGGGGCATGTGCCTCGGTTGCATTTGGTTCCTGGCCCTGGTCAGGGTAGTACAAGAGGCAGCTAGTTGATGTTTCTTTCTCTCTCTTTCTCTTTCTGCCCCCCACTCCCTCCCACTCTATCTGAAGATAAATAGAAGAAAAAAATTACTATTACTAATTTCTTAGAGTATGAAAGCTGTTATTTACATAAACATATACACTGACATGTGATTGACATACTTCAAGTAGTACATTCCTCAAAATTTTTCACATACTTTCCTCATCACTCCAATGAAAATACATTCCCTACAACAAAATTAAATACTAATTTTTCTTCTACCTTTCTGGTTTTATTTTGCCTTCATTGGTTCTTCATCAACCACAATAAGCAGAATTAACTACTCCTTTCATCATGGTCCCAAAACATCATCTTCATAGTGCCTAGCACAGTGAATGACAAACCTTTAGTGATGCTCAATAATAAAGTGTTGTTTTTAATACTATTATAAAACTTCTATTATAACTAATTGTATGTGTTTCTGTGAACCTCACCAGACTAAAACTGGAGGACAAGAATCCAGGTCTTCAATTTTTTCTTTTTCTTTTTGCATTCTAATCCTAGATTTATTCAACATAATCCTTTTACTCTATATAAGAAAGTATAAACACAATCTAAAATGCTACAAAGTTACAAAAAATTAATTTTAAAAGTAGTCAGGTCTTCAATTTTAAAAGTAGTTAAACAGTATTTGCAAAATCTGACTAGGTTCTGCTTTGTAACTACACTGTCCTTTGAATATGTCACCCATCTGTCATCCATATATTTGCTCATACCATTGCAAGCTCCTCTACAAAGCTTTCCAAAACCACTTACTCCAGTGCTGATCTTTTTCTCAAAATCTATTAGAAAATATTATTTTGTATGGTAAATTATGTAAAATATTCTTTAGTATTTGTTATGTTTCCCTAGACCAAACACAACTTACACCAACTCTACAATATACTCAACAGCAAAGTCCCTGCCAACTTCTTGCTCTACACCCACTCAGCACAGCATTTTTCAGGTAACTTGAATTCCATATACAGATAGATTAAAATGTAATGTACAACAGAGCCACATGCTGACAAAGAGCTAACAGTACTAGATCTGGTTGGTAAGCATTGGCAGGCTTTCTTTTCTTTTTTCTTTTTTTAATTGATGAGAGACAGACAGACACAGATACTGATGTAAGAAATCATGCAACTCGACAAGGGATGGAACCGAAACCTGGGTATGTGCTCTGACTAGGAATTAAACCTGCCACCTTTTGGTGTACGGGACAACACTCCAACTAACAGAGCCACACTGGTCAGGGTGGCACGCTTTCTTTAAACAATAATTTGGCACAGCACCTCCTACCCTCTAAGGTGATGATACAAGAAAATGGTTGTTCATGGGAGAAAGAGAAGAGCTGCACTCTGCAGTGCTCAGGTCAAGCAACAGCTACCCTTCAACTCACAGAATGAGGGAAAGATACAGACCACTTTCCGGCAGAAACCAAACCTTAAAAGGTGAAGTATTTCCACTAGGATCACAGAGAAAGTCAATGGCAGAGCTTGCACTGAAATCCATGTTTCCCCACTTGCAATCAAGCAACCTTTACTGCATCAAACAAATTCTCTAATTGTCTCAAAAGACTAGTAAGTCTGTCTTTACCTCATATACGCCAATCAAAGGGCAACCCCACAAATACCCAAGTAACTCACAAAGAAATTAGAAAGTGGGGAAAGGAAATGCTTTTCTAGACTCCTATGCATTTACCCAGACCTTGACTGCTAAGTGTTACAGGTTCTCCTTGGTCCCTTTCACTCTACATTTTCCTTTGGTATTTTCATCTGCAGCCTATTGCTTCATCTAGTAAATATAGCCTAAGAATTCCCAAATCTAAATATCACAACCAGACTTTTTTTTTTGACCTACCATTCTGTCCTCTAAACATCTCTACCTATGTCTGTCCCATGCTCACCTTAAAAACACTCAGCATTTATAAATTTATCACTTCCCCTCCCTGAGTCAACCAGCATCACCCCCTTGTGGCCACATTGCCTACCTTGGCAAATGGCACCATCTAATCAGAAACCTGTCACTGGGATTTCTCTCATCTCTCTTACCTCAGACACCAAGTTTTATCAATTCTCATTTGTAAATACAGTAGGACTCCCAACCAAATCATCTCCTACACATACCAATGATCTCCAAAGCTTTTGATCACATCTTTATTATTAAAAATATTTTGAACATACATGCACCCAAAATATATACCTATCTACTTATTAATTAACATACATGTATGCCTACAATAATATACTAAGATAGCATAAATCTTTATTTTTGAAGGTATTACAGATGTCTTCCACTAAAATATCATAAATATTAACAAAAATTTTCTCCCTACACTCCAGTGAGTCATTTTACACATCTTTGGTGTTTAGGAACCTACATTTTGAAAACTGTATAATGACACTGTCCTATAGCAAGAAAAAATAAATAAATAAATATATATATACACATATATAAATATATATATGTGTATATATATATATATAATCGCTACTTGAAGCAGTTCCTTTTTACACACACACACACTTCATGATGAGATGATATATCCATGTCTTGGCATATTGCTAAATATAGTTAACCTTATCGTCTAACGCCACAAACAAAAAATAAAGTAAAAGTAGTTGAATTCTAAAACCCCACATTTTATTATTCTATTAATAAAACTTAACTCTGTAAAAGTCTTAGAATTAGCCATCTTTAAAAAGATGAGAAATTTACCAAATACAATTTTGCTCCTTTTGCACACAGCTCCTAAAATAAATACTTTTTTTTTTTCACTTATCTACAGAAATATTCTAAGGCTGTTAATGTTCTGGGTTTTATGAACTGCACCTCCTTTAACCAAGATACATACTGTAATATTTTTCAATTTTCTACATCTATAGATACTATTACTGTTTCAGGACCCTTTACTCTTCCCTACCCTTATCCCTATCAACCCATTCTCCCTACCCCAATACTCCAGCCTCTGCAACAACACAAAAGACAAACAAAAATCCCACAATATATAACCAAAGTCAGAATAGATCTAGTAATACAAGAGATATTTACATATTTGTACAATATAATCCTCTAGGATTTTACCCACAACCTGACAGATCCTAACTTTCCAACAATAGTCCAGTTGAATCCCCTCAGATAAATTCAGCTTGCTACACATTCAGAAATTTACATTCTCAGAATTCAAAGTGTTGAAATTTTTAGCAGTTAGATGTTTAAGCTCATCATTCAAGCAGTATAGTTAAGAGTAAACCAGTGCACTTACAGGATATTAAAGAAAAATTTTCTTCGGATAGAATATTTACTACCCCCCATGCTGTCAGCCACAATTTTTTTGGCAATAAGCCAAACAATAAAGATATTAAGTGGCAAGCATTCCATGAAAACCAGCACCCTGTTAAGCTATTTAATTTTCATTTTATAATGTGACCAGATGTCCCTCCTCAGAGTCCCTTCTAGAGTTAAGAACTTACTGACACCAATATAGAACTACATTTTCATTCAGTGATGGTAAATGGGGGCAGATTTTAATTAGTGACCAGAAAACTAAGAAGAAAGCTTTTTAAAATTACTAAATCCAGTGATCTTCTGTATTATTGACTGTATATTTTTCATGAGCAGACAGCTGAGGGAGATTAGAAAACAATCTTGACGTACAACTTAACATTCTTTTTGAAAGACAACACTATATAAACTTAAAATTTTAGGTCTGTGAAGTTAACATAGATGACTTAAATTAGAGTTTATCTGCTTTCTATTTACAGAAGTAAAGTACTAACCACATCCCATCTTTTAAACTACCATTCTAATAATGTCTTCCATTTTATATTGAGTTTTATAAGTAAAATGACTTTGTCTTTAAAATCTGTTTTCTCTTTATCACTTCATCATCTTCAGTCACTCATTTAATATTGATCAATAAACCAAAATTATATGAAAATGCGAACATTACAGTGGGACTCTTAGATGAGTCCTTGTCCCCTCTGGACCTTGACATCCACAAATGTAGACTACGTAACTTCTAATAAAAATTCTGTAATCACAGTCAGTTCTACAATCTATTATAATGGCTGTATGTCGTTTAAGAAAGATATCTAATCAAAATTCATTTAGCATGTGATTTCTGTGCCATGAAAACAGTAAAAAACAACAACCCAGCAATTCTATACACCTAAATATCTATAAGGTATGCAGACGTGGTACCAGTGAAGTTATCAATTACATTCTGAGATTTTTAAAATCTTTTTAATATACCAAGAAGGGATGAAAAAGTCAACTTTTGAGCATCTACTCCAAGTGTTTAACATTTTATATCTGATTTTCACAACTATACCGTAACCTGTGACTCAAACATGGGCTTTGGCGCTAGACCCCATGGTCTGTCCACTCACCCGCTAAAATAACCACAGGCGAATTTCTTATGCTCCCAGTGCCTCCGTTTCTTCATTTGTAAAATGGGGGATAAAACAGGACTTACCTCATTAGATCGTGCCAGGATTAAACAACAAAATACATCTGAAGCGCACTGAGCTAAACATGGCCCTCACTGTCGTTATTACAATAAGGATTACTTTTATTATTAGTGTAGGTATTTTTGCTCCCTTTTTAGAGATGAGGAAATAGAAGCCGAAAGTGTCAGTTACCAGTGATCACACCAATTAGTGCTAGGTTTTGACTCAAAAGCACAAATTTGATAAAATAAAAACTACTTAGACATAATATAATTGCACTGTTTAAAACACCACGTATCATTATGAAGCATACGAAACGACACGTAGTACACGGGTCAGGATCGTGCCGGGCATTCAATTTCGCGGAGCCCCAGAGGAGCCCCCGGCGAGGACGCGCCTCGTCGGGCGTCTGCGGGCGCGGGCGCGGGCGCGGAGGCAGCCGACAGTCCGGGCAGATACGGTGAGAAAGGGAAAGCCGCTACGCCCCGCCGCGCCCGCGCCCGCCGCTCTCCCGGCCTCCCCCCGCCCGCCCAGCCCGCACGGGCCCGGCCCAGGCGGAGCGCTGCCACCAGCCTCCCACGGAGGAAGCATGAACAATTCCCCTATCGTGAAAGCTGATCACCGAACTCAACGCTGCGCAAAGGAAAAGCCGCCGACCGCAGACCGGGGCAAAGACGCTGTCCGGACGGGTCCAGGTCCCAGCAACTAAGCGGGTCCCAGAGCGGCCTCCACTCGCTTCCTCACCCGGACGCGCCCATTCGGCCGACAGGACTCGCTGGCCCTCGTTCACTGGAGCCCCGGCCACGCGTCAGGCCACGATCGCTGTGAGTGGCGGGTGTCAGAGTGGCCAGTGTGGCCTCCTGGCACTGCTCCGCAAGCAGCCCCAGCCCCGTTATGACAGGGCCCAGACCGGCCACTGTGCCCTCGGAAGGCGGGGGCTGGGGGCTCTGCATCCACGGGCGGCCGGCGCCGGGGCAGCGAGGGGCGGCGGGGAAAGTCCGAGAGGACGCCGGCGGCCCGCACTTCCGCTCCGGTCCCAGCAACCACCCCACCCCGCCGTCCCGCACAAGGTCCCTGCCGGGCCGCAGCAGGCCGCCCGAGATGTGGCCGCGCACGGCAGCCCGAGGCCGCCGCCCGCCCACCTCAGACCCCTACCTCTCCGGGCGGCGTCCGGCCCCGCGCAGTCGGCTCGGGCCTGCTCCTCCACCGCTCCGGCTCGGCCTCTCCCGCGGTCTGGCGCGGCCCTCAGTCTCCGGCGCGCCGGGCGGCGGCTCCTCCTTCTCCTCCGAGGCGGGAGGCAGGAGGCGGGGACTCGCGGTCAGGAGCCGCCTCCCGGCCAGAAAAGATCCCCTCGGCCGGCCTCCGCGGCGCGCCGTGCCCGCTGCTCCGCCGTCCTCTCCCTCCGGAAATGCATTCCTGCCGGGCCGCGTCAGCCGCACCCCAGGCGGGAGGAGGCGGGGGAGGAGGCGGCGGAAGCCGGAGGCCCGGGACAAAAGAGCTGCCTCGGTCGGGAGCGGCCCGAGGGCGGGGAGGAGCCGGGACGCTGCCGAGGCCTGCGCCGTGCCTCAGTTTTCTCTGCTGGTGGAGGAGGGGGCGTTGCGTGTACGCCGAGGCTCTGGCGAGTCTCACTGCCCTTCCAGGAGAGGAGGCTTTACTCTGCTTTGCCGCTGGTCTTCGGTTCTGTGTCCCTAAAGCTGCAAGTCTGTTTAACCAACAGTCCCGTTTGCCTGTCCCGCGACACCCTTTAGTTCCAGGCACATCAAGATAGTTAGTCCCCTTCCCCGCAATGCTTCGTGGGGCCCAAAACCTTTCCCTTTAGAATTAGCTAAAGCCAGTATTAGTTTTCTGAAAAGATAGTTTGACTTGTGTCTGTGAGAAAGGTGAAAACTTGGGAAGGGTATAGGTATCAAGAAAGATGGAAATGTGGAAAGTTTTAGAGAAGAAGTGCTGAGTTGGGAAGCTGCTCTTGTTAGATTGATCTGGCGGTCCATTTATGGGAAACAGGGATGAGAAGGAAAAGTTTCGTCCTTAAGAATACAGTTTCTATTTATCCTCACTTATTTTTAGTAGTGGACGTGGGGGCTGGAGAAGGAACATTTAAAAGGGAAGGGTAACATTCATTCTGAGAATGGCTGGGCATATTTTGATAAGAGGAGTGAAACCTGTACCAACCAACATACTGAAAAAACAGTAGTTCAGAATATGCTGCTGGCACGTTGAAAATGTGCGTTGCTAGCTAGTGAGCTGCAGCACCCTATTGGGAGCAGAGCTCAAATTATGAGATCTGTGAAACTTAAAAGTAGTGGTTCACTTGCCCAAGATTAGAAGCTGGGATGCCTATTTGGCTGCCAATTTTAGACACAAGAAAATAAAGTAATCCCACCCGTGGAGCATTTGCACATTGCTCACCAGTAAAGTAAAATCTGTTGGTTAGATAACCTCTGAAGACCACTAGAAATGAGCATGCTTTTTGCTAGTTCCTTCATGGATGACCAAGTTTAAGAGGTTAAATTATGTCTCCAAATTAATATTTCAATGGTAGAGCTGCCACCAGACGTCAACATTCTTGATTTTAGGAGAAGTTTCTAGGAGACTTCTGGTCTAGATGGCAGTGTAGGTAATCATGGTACTCACCTCCTCCCACAAGCACATCAAAATTGCAACTAAACTACAGAATATCCTTCAGAACCACCTGAAATCCAGCTGAATGGAAGTCCTACAACTATGAAATTAAAGAAGAAGCCACTTCAAGACTGGAAGGAGGGGCCAAGGCACAGATGGGCTAGTCCCACACCTACTACATGTGGCAGATAAAAATCAGGAAGGATACCTCAGCTGTGAAGGTCCTCCCTGAGTGAGGGGTCCCCCTCCCACACCAGGGTTGCAGTGCCAGAAAGACAAGTCCCCATAACTTCTAGCTGTAAAACCAACAGGAACTGGGGCTGAGAGAGGCTGAGGCTGCTGTAGCCCCAGGCAGTTCCACTTAAAGGGCCCACTCTTTCTGGGCTCCAGCATGGAGGGGAGGCAGCTTGAAAGGCACCAGAGACATATGGGGAAGAACTGAGTTGTTTGGTATTGGGGCAAGGGCTGCAGAGGCAGCTTTTTCCCCCAGACAGACATACTGGTGGAGGCCACTGTTCCTTTGGTGAGCCCTGCTCCCACAGGGCAGGCAAAGGGCCTCAGTTATCTGGGACTCTAGCAACCTGCTTTGTACTGTTTGTCCTGCCCTGATGATTCCCTGAGGCCCTACCCGACCCAACTTCAGGCCCACCCAAGCTGTTTCCAGTGGCTTTACCATAGGACTGGCCTGCTTTGGCTCCTGCTTCAGATTTTCCTAAATTCTCTGAAACAAGCAACATCTGGCCACAGCAAGCCTCATACCTCTTGTTAAGTGGCCCCAGGCCCAGCACTAGAAACAGCCAGCCTTGGTTCACAGCTTGGCTTCACCTGAGAACCTCCCAGCCCAGCACAAAAAGCAGCCATCAGCAGATTGCTTTGTAGCTTATGCCTGGTGGCCCTGGGTAGAACACAGGCAGTGGCTGATCTTGTCCCAGAGCCAGCACACTCAGTGGACAGCTTCAGACTACGTGGAAGCACCACCACCCAACCCCCTCCACAAGTGACACACTCAAGGAATGTACTCAGGGAGTACCAGAGCACTGCTGAAGTAAGTCTTGCTCTGTGTGGTGGGCTCCTGCACAGCTGATCATCCAAGGTAGTCAGAGGTCAGTGGTTAGTGGGTACAGCCAGTCCTTGCAGCTAATAAGCCTGAGTAAAACCCTCCCACAGACATGCCAACAGCAATCAAGATTCAGTTACAGCCCTGGCCGGTTTGGCTCAGCGGTTAGAGCGTCAGCCTGCGGTCTAGAGAGACCTGGGTTCGATTCCCGCTAAGGGCATGTACCTCAGTTGCAGTTTGTCCCTGGCCCTGGTTGGTTCGTGTGGGTGGCAGCCACTCGATGCGTACCTTTCACGTTGATGTTTCTCTCTCTCTCTTCCCCCTCCTGCTCTATCTGAACAAAAAATGAAAAAATGTTTAAAAAAAAGACTCAATTACAACAGAAGAGTATAAAGTCCACACAAGGGGTGCACCTCGAGGGCCAAGCTGCGTGATGAGGGAGGCTGTGCCACTAGACCCTATAGGACACCTACTACAACAGGCCACCCTAGGAAGCCTAGGAGACATAGCAGCTCTATCTAATATATAGAAACAAACACAGGGAGGCAGCCAAAATGAGGGGACAAAGAAACATGTCCCTAATGAAAGAACAAGAACAGAACAAAACTCCAGGAAAAGAACTAAATGAAATGGAGATAAGCAATCTAACAGATGCAGAGTTCAAAACACTGCTTATAAGGATGCTCAGTGAACTTAATGAGGGCCTCAGGAGCATAATAAAGGACCAGTCAGAAATGCAGGATGCACTAACTGAAATAAAGAATAATTTACAGGGAATCAATAGTAGGGTAGGTGAAGCCAAGGAGCAAACTATCGATTTGGAATATAAGGAAGCATAAAACACCCAATCAGAACAGCAAAAAGAAAAAAGAATCGAAAAAAATGAGGATAGTGTAAGGAGCCTATGGGACAACTTCAAGTGTACCAACATTTGTATCATGGGGGTGCCAGAAGGAGAAGAGAGAGGGCAAGAAATTGAAAACCTATTTGACAAAATAATGACAGAAAACTTCCCTAAGTTGGTGAAGGAAACAGATATACAAGTCCCGGTAGCACATAGAGTCCTAAACAAGATGAATCCAAAAGAGGCCCACACCAAGACACATCATCATCAAAATGCAAAAGGTTACAGACAAAGAGAGAATCTTAAAAGCAGCAAGAGAAAATCAGTTACTTACTAGGGAGCTCCCATAAGGTTGGCAGTCGACTTCTCAAAAGAAACTTTGCAGTCCAGGAGGGAGTGGCAAGAAATATTTAAAGTGGTACAAAGAAAGGACCTATAACCAAGGGCACTCTATCCTGCAAAACTATCATTTAGAATCCATGTCCATATAAAGAGTTTCCCAGAACCTGGCCAGTGCAGCTTAGTGGTTGAGCATTCACCCATGCACCCAGAGGTTGCTGGTTCAATTCTCAGTCAGGGTACATTCCCAGGTTGTGGACCTGATCCCCAGTGGGGGGATGCAGAAGGCCACCAGTCAATATTCTCTGTTATAGATGTTACTATCTCTCTCTCCCTAAAAATCAATAAAGAAAAAATAAATAAAAAAATTTTAAGTTTCCCACATAAGAAAAAGCTAAAGGAGTTCATCACCACC